TTGATTCCCATTAATAAGATCTAAAAGTTTGTGACGATGGTACATTAGTACAAATATGTTTCTGGACATTATCCATCGTCCTGTTTTCATTTCAAAACACAATGTTTTGGAGACTGGGTTCTGTCTCCATCTTCTGGTAAAACAGGATGATGCATAGTGTCAAGAACATAACATGTGTAGATTCTCATTAAATTTATCACTGGAGATTATCAGAGAAAGTGCTCCACAAATGGATACAGTTCATGCAGATATGGATATACTGTTACTGGGTAGTGTTTTGCTGTGCTCGAGTTAATTAAACAGGAGTTACGACAACAGATTATGTCCCCCCCACCCTTGGCACTACAGCCCCAGTGAGCCTAGGCCTACCTCCATGAATTTCTCCCTTCACTTCGGTTTTTCTAAATATTACACATTCGGTAGGACTCCTTGGGCGGGGAATCAGCTCGTCGCAAGGCCTCTACCTATACACAAACACAGAAAAACGCACACACACACACACACACACAAACTAAACATCCGTGCCCTGAGTAGGATTCGGACCCACGATCCCCGTTTCCAAGCGAGAGAAGACAGTTCATGCCTTAGACCGCTCGGCTACCGTGACCGGCCAACAGATTATTAGGGTACTGTATTTTCTAACATGTTTTCTCCCACCACACACACCTTCAACTATTCTGTCAATTAAATTCAATTACCTTGCCATCCCATATGGTTGCAAAATTATTTATTGCTATTCATGTGAACAGGAGGTTACGATGGGCGTAGGGGTGATGAGGGGGTGGGGAGGTCGCATAGGACGGTATGGTAGCATTCTATTTTATTGATCATGCTGTCAGTGTTGGTGGCCATTTCTCATCTAGTTAGAGAACGTCTGCATAGAGATGGCAGGAATAATGCCATGGGACGTCAACGCGATCAACGCTGCCATGTTGTCCAAATTTAATGAACAGTAACCGGGGGCTGGCAGAGAGGAAGATGCTGTTATGGTCGTGAAATGAGGCATAATCATTGTCAAACATTCGAGTCGATTCAGTGTTCACGACGAACGTTCTGTATATTGTATACAGGACACTTTTCGCGACTAATTTAAACATTCAATAACTTCAAATTTGTTTATTTTATAAGAAATACTTTCGTTAATCGAAAAGGTCCGAAATTTTGCAAATTTGATTTTCTTATATATTTAAAACAAGAAACTGTTCATTTCCGTGTTCACAAGAGCGTACCACTGGTCACTGTCCTGAGCCAGATCAATCCAATCCTACCTTCCCAGCCCATCTCTCCCAAGATCCATTTTAATATTGTTGACCCATCTATGTCTTGGTGTTCCCAGAGGTCTCTTTCCTTCTGGCTTTCCGACTACATTACATTACATTGCATTGCATTCCATGGATCTAAAGTTAGTCAAAATGACTGTAGGATGTGGAATATGTCATACAAATACAAAATGTATGTACAGACCCAATGGAGTTCCGAGACAAGAGAAACCAAGAATACACAGTTACTACACACAAGGCTATTTAAAGATTCATAAGTTATTTTCTAGACAATAGGTATTCATCAACAGAGTGGAATGAATGTGTATTTAAGTATTGTTTCAGTGCTATTTTAAATTGTGCCTTTTCATTCATAAGACCTTTGAGATCAGATGGCAGGTTATTAAAAATGTTAATCCCAGGATAATATGCGCTTTTCTGAAAGCATGAGAGGTTAGCAATTGTTTATGAAGACAGTGTTTGTGTCTTGTGTTAACACTGTGTACATCCGCTTTTGTCTGAGAATGTTCATTATTTGTAATGAAGTTTATTAAAGAATATATATATTCACAAGGCAAAGTTAAGATTTGTAGTCTCTTAAATAGATCTCTACAGGAATTACGGGGTTTCACGCCCATCATGATTGTAACAGTTTTCTTTTGCAATGTAAATACCTTTTTACTGTAAGATGAATTACCCCAGAAAATTATTCCATAATTCATTAAAGAGCGAAAATAAGTAAAATAGATCGATTTGAGAGTGTCAGTGTTACTAATATGTAACATGAATCTAACTGCATAACATGCTCTACTTAACTTTGGAATCAACCGATCGATATGGTTTTTCCAATTTAAATAATTATCAATTTGCAAGCCAAGGAATTTTGTGTTTATCCCCTCTTCTATACTTATCATTATATCCTATGTTTAATGGATATTGTGGTGAGTTTTTTGTTATAAATTTTATTACAATGTTTTTTCTAGGTTCAGGGACAGCTTGTCTGCAGAAAACCATTTACTCATTTGCGTAAAAACCTTGCTTGATAACATGCAGAAATCATCTAAATTTTTACCAGATATTATAACACTAGTGTCATCTGCAAATATTATAGGTATTGATGAGGTCCTTAGTGTAGGATGGAGGTCGTTTATATAAATTATGAAAAGCAAAGGCCCCAAAATTGACCTCTGTGGAACTCCACCAGTATCCTATATGCATTCCTCTTCTCCCCATTCGTGCTACATACCCTCCCCACCTCATCCTTCTTTACTTGATCATTCCAATTATACTTGGAGAAGAATACAAATTATGAAGGTCCTCATTATGCAGTTTTCTCCAACCTCCTGTCTGTTCATCTCTCTATGGTCCAAATATTCTCCTCATCTCCCTGTTCTCAAACACCCTCAGTCTGTCTTCCTTCCTTAATATCAGAGACCAAGTTTCACCACAGACAAAATTATAGTTTCGTATATTCTAATTTTTACGTTTTTAGACAGCAGATGAGAAGACAGAAGGTTCTGGACTGAATGGTATCAAGAATTACCCAAGTTCAGTATCCACTTAATTTCCTCCTGAATCAGGTTTTGATTTGTTATAGTCGTTTGACTATATGCTGTTCTAAATAGAACTCTCTTTAAAATGAAAGAAGGAAACATCTTGTGGGTGTTGCAATTTGTTGAAACTTGTGTGGTGTAATGAAGTGTGTAGATGGGTGATATGTAGTCATCATGAATTTGTAATGTGTTACATGTTTTATATCCAGCCTATGGGGAGATGATTGTATCTATGAAGTGAAAATAAATGTAAATGTAAGTGATGAATGTATTGGAATTGCTGTAGGAGTAGGCACTTTTGAATAATTAAAAGGTGGTGAGGAGAGAGGTGAGATATGTAATGGTTCTGAATTGAGTAACTGAGGTTTCCTGTGATACTTTATGTTGAATTTTGTGTAAATATATTTATCATAAACTGCAGAAGTTGTATGCTGGGCAATTTTGTGTGTGTTTAAACTTTGTGTCATATAATCTTGTATGCTGTGATAAAAAGGTTGTGGACTGTAAATATTTTAAATTCATTTTTTTAATTGAAATTACTTCTGTCTTGACTGTGCAACCACTGTACAAATGAGAGAGGCCGCAGTGGATTTATTGATCAGTTTAATGAAATTTCTTAATTTTATTTCAATGTTTTCCATTACATGTTCATAATGTTTCAGTAATATTTTTATTCCTAGTTTCTGCAATCTATGGATTATCCAAAATAAAGAAAAAATTGGACTCCTGTTACATAAACATCCAGTGTATGTTAGGAATTTGTTAATGTCAAGATGTGTTTTGGATGGGCCACTGAAATGATGATAGTGCTGTATAACAAATTTGTAAGTATTTCAGGAACAAACTAATTTTTCAGAGAATCTTAAGTGTTGTGAAAATGTGATGCTGGACACTATGCATGTGCCCTTGTTATACTGGCTGGCTTTACAGTTGGTGTGATATTAGGCCTGAATGTGCAGAAGCTTCTACCGACAGATTGGTTTTATGGTGCCATAGTAGTGTCTGACTTGTCTTTGTGCCCTCAACATATTCAAATTTTGTTCCTCTACTCCACTGGAAATTTGAATTTTTCTAATACCCCATTGGAGGAAGTTCAAACTATATGCTCAGAATGACACCATATGTACTGATTATTTGTCCGCAGGTTTTGGAGAGAGTTTGAATATTGTCAGAATCAGTCTACATTTCCTTAACGAGTAAAACTCTTGATGTTTGGTTGTGCGGTGGTGGTACCTTTGTGTACTATTGTGGGACCTCTGAAGTTTGATATATCTTAGAGCCAAACATCTCAAAATCATGTATTATAATTGTATTAATTACTGTCACTACACTGTGCTAAGTGTTGTAAATGAGATAAATATGGCAATTTTGGATTCAACAGGTAATGAGAAGTGGAGTTTTATGTTATCAAAATTTGAGACTGAATTTCAAAAAAGGGTATCCTGTACTGTGATGCACTGAGCATATAGCCAGCATCAGGTGGACAGGGTAAACATAAAATTGTAGTGAGGAATCCTAAGGAGGAGGTAAAAGAAGGCATCCTTAATATGGATCTTCTGTATGAAAGTGTGAGAATGGGAGTTGGATGGTATTGGCCTCTATTGTTGTTGAATGTTAAATAACATATCAGTCAAACAATTCCATTAATTGCTCATATTAGGACAATCCTGTACAACCTCTGAAAAGTAATACTAAATGAGATGTATTGCCATGTAGATGCTTGCTTGGTTTCTCTTTGACCCTGAAGATGGAGGCAGTATGTTCCTTAAAAATATCAGTTAACTTCTACTGTTTACATGGCATCACATCCCAGATAATAATACTCTTCATAGTCACTGCCATGAGAACCTCAAATGCAGCTACTAATTTTGCTGCAAACATGAAAAGATCAGCATTGGCTTTGTGGAAAGGTAGTGTTTCTTCCTTTTATTTCAATGGAATGCTGAAACCCTATGCTTGCCCACTTTCTTTAACAGAAATTATCTGATGTCTTGATTGTTGGCATAATGTCAGTGAATAAATGCATCTGAAGGTCATTTTTATCTCTTGTTGATGTCAGAGGTCTTCTGTGTAATCAGCGGGAAAAGTTTCTGTAAGAAATTACACAAGACTGGAGAAGCACATACACTGAAGTTGGATAGCCAAAACGTGAGTAGACAAGTATTGCTTTGTTAGTTGTAATTATAGACTCTGTATTTAACCATTCAAGTTTCCTTGTAAGTTCACTTTAGTTTCTTTGATTTTAATAGTTATGTAATGTACATAATCACTTGGCTGTAAGTGCAGTTGTATTAACTCTTTCCCATCAAAATTGATGGGAAAATGATATGAGTGAAGTGCAATTTTATTATTTCAAATATAATTATTCTGTGTTGACAGAATTGGCTCTGTACCTTCAAATGAGGTTAGAAGGGAATGACAAAATGAAAGCATGGAAGACATGAGTGGATGGAACCAAATATGAGTTGAAACTTAAATATTGAAAGTAGTCTTACATGTAAGTTAGTAAGCAAGTAAGCAAATTTTCTGGTAGGAAAGTAAAGTAAAGTGAGTCTAATGCAGCAGTTTTAATTTAACAGTACCATAATTTCGTTCAATTTTGATGTTTTTGTTTGAGATTAACTTTTTTCTTACTTTACTAAGAAACTTGTTTGGTGAATACATTGAAACTCAAATATGTAAGAGCCACCACATTCACTGTTTTTTTGACATATATGGTTATATCTGCTTAAATAAATTTTCTTTGTATATCATTATTTTAGATTTAAATGCAAAAAATGAGTAAGAAGCTAATTAATTTGCCAGAAAATTGTGTTGATGAGATGTTAGATGGTGTTGTCAAAGCTCATCCAGGCCTTTCTTTACATGCCAACTATCGAGTCATCTTAACAAAGCAGGTGAGTGAGTGTATGATTGATATTTTTCCAAGGCATGCACTTTTACTGAAAGTATAATTGACATTAATTCTTGTAATTCAGATCAAGCATTTCTAGAAAATAATACAAATTGGTCCAGTCAGACCCACTGAAATTAGTGTATGTAAGCATGTATCCTGTAAAAGGACAAACATGGTTGCAGTTATCTATCATATCATTGAAAAAGTTATTTCCTTATTTGTAATGGAATGACAGTTATGAGTTCAATGTCACATTACATTTATTCTCATTCTGTAGAGCACGATATAAACGGTATTTTAAAGTTATGACATCTTGGATGAACAGAGGCAAAATGTGTTGGAGACAGAGACAGTCTCAAATTTTCAGTGTTTTGAAAACTGTTTCTATCTACAGCATATCAGTGCAGCTGACTTCTGGAAGAGACTTTGCCTCATTTAGTCTTTATTCGAAACTTTCAGATTTTACATTGTTTTAATGCTTATAATTATAGTGGGCAGATACTAAGAAGAAAGTGGCGCTTTTGTCTGGAGGTGGATCTGGACATGAACCATTTGCTGCGGGTAAGCAAAGATATTTCACCTTCTCCTACATTACACTAGTAGACACAAAGACAGATCTAATGGAAATGTATCGAGTAACATGAGCTGGATTAAAATTGCACAGGATAGACTCAAATAATGGGGTTTAGTAAAGCGGAACTGGCCCATTAATTAGGGTATGTCAGATCTTATGTAGACAACATTATGGAAGGAAAGTTTTATGTGCAAGGAAGTATCCCCACAAAATCACATCTGTGATAAGTTAACATGGAAGAAAGTGCTGAGCATTAAGTTTCATAATAAGCAAGGACCTTTTTTATCTGCTGGGTAACTGACAATTTCTTAATGAGACATTGTTAATTTTATATGTATAAAAATAAATTATTTACAAATGGTATTTTGCACATTTGCAGCAATTTATTGTCAGCAAAAATGTTATAAATTTTACATGTAGTCATTCTGGCTTTGTTTTCTACAAACTGAATATATTATGTGAACATTGAGATGTGGTAACCATTTCACCTTGAATATGATTTCTAATAACAACTGTATCCACTGTTATGTGACACCATCCACTCAACTAAGTGGATATTCTCAGTCCTTGAATTGTGAAGTTCATTATCCATCTCCATCTGGTGCTAAAAATTCATGAGCTTTACCTCATGTCTTCACAGTGTGATGGTTATATATGGGGATAACTGTACCATTTTGCCACACATAAAATCCTTGACCGTGGATTGTTATCCTAGATATATGTTGGAGAAATATCATAATGAAACTAGGAAGCTGAGGGATACAAAGAATTTATTACAGCACACTTCCTGTTATTTTAGGGGCTGCTGTGTGGAGCTGTGACTTAACTAAACAACTTTCTACCCAGAAACTTCATACTATGTACTGATAAAAAGAAATAAAACCCGTAGTAATGAATAGACATGGCCGCGCCATAGCTCAAGCGGTTAGTCACTGGCTTTCCACTGCTGCGGCCCGGGTTTGATCCCAGGTCTGCTCACGTGGGATTTATGGTGGACAAAATGGCGCTGGGGCAGGTTTTCTCCAAGTACTTCGGTTTCCCCTGCCAATCTTCATTGCACCAATTGCTCCACAATCACCCTCATCTATCATCTGGGGCTGGTACAATAGACCAGAAGTGGCTGCAGTACAAGGGAGTTAGTCCCACCCCACTAGCAATAAAAAAAAAGCGAATGAATGAATAGACACTGATTTGGGAGCCAAGGACCAATGTCATACTCTTAGGAGAATCCTCATGTTACATATGAGATTTACTGATAATTACTGTGGGGCATGCGATAGCGTAGTTGGTTGAGGCACTGTGCTACAAGCTGGAAGGTTGCGGGTTCAAGTCCTGTTGAGATCATTGGATTCTTTTCAATTGACATAATCCATCTGGCCGCACTATGGTCCTGGGGTCAACTCAGCCTCTAACAGAAATGAGTAACAGGAATTGTCCTAGGGGGTAAAGTGTGGCCGGCATGTAGGGCTGACAACCTTACCGCCATCTGTGAGCTGACTGTCTAGAAAATGTGGGAGCTTCGACCTCTCACACCCCTATGGGCCTTCATGGCCTGTTATAGGGAAAGCTTTACTTTTTTACTGATAAGTACTGTAGAATGAACTGTATCTTGTTGCTCAGAGAAAGGTGTGCACCTAGAAAGACATCTCACAGTATTGTTACTTAACCAATTTGTTATGCTTCAACACCTATTTCATTTGAAATGTAAGTAGGAAACATATACCATTAGGGACCTTAATATATTTAACCGTTTATATACTGAGGTGTAAAGTGGATAGCATGGGATGGTGCATTTTAACCAATTAATCAGTGAAGGAAATAACAGGCAATTAAAGAATACAATAATGAGTCACTGGAACACTTTAATTCTAGTTGTATTGTGGCATATAGACCCGTTGCTAAGCAGTGACTCAGTAAACAGCGGCTCTTGCAAGGTAATACCTGCAATATACATGCATGCAACAGAACATCAATGTTATGCAACCCGTTTCTAAGCAGCAGATTGGTAAAAATGCCACAACAACAATAGAGTTATTGTTGGAAACACTATTTCCTATTCAGTCCATGCAAAGTGGCTATACAGGAGACATTTCGGGCGATCCAGTTAGTTGAGGGTTGGCAGTTCTGTTGAGCTCTGCAAGAGGGGCTGAGAATATGGCATTATTAGTTAGCTGAGAGTTGAAAGTCATGCTGTGGAGAAAAGAGTTACTTTCAAGAGTGCAGCTGTGAAGAGAAGGCTTTATGTGTGCTGTAGTTACAGTGAGACTGTTATAATTTTTTTGTTTTTCCTTGGCACTACAGCCCCAGTGGGCCTAGGCCTACCTTCATGAACTTCTCCATTAACTTCGGTTTTTCTAGATCTCACACATTCAGCAGGACTCCTTTGGTGGATGATCAGCTTGTCGCAAGGCCTCTACCTGTACACAAAAACAGAAGAACACACACAGAAACTAAACATCCATGCCCTGAGTGGGATTCGAACCCACAATCCCGGTTTCCAAGCGAGCGAAGACAGTACATGCCTTAGACCGCTCGGCTACCGTGACCGGCTGACTGTTATAATTACTGTGTTAAAATCAATTACCAGGTTATGACTAGTGAAGACTGATAAGACTTAGACTTAGCATACGCCAGTGACTTGTAAAGTGTGGAAATCAGTGATAGTGCTGTAATTTCTTGTAGTTCCGAATGGTGTGTATGAGTGGACGGTAAATTCATTCACCAATCCATACCCTGTCTATAGTCACACACATACATACACGTGGCAGTATTAAGTATAAATTTGTGGAAAATAATTTTGAAGACTTTCTTTTCATGCCTTTCTAAATTTTTTTTCCTCTCTCTTTCCCTTTAGAATTCACACATTGCTTTACCTTGAAATTGGTTTCAAGCACACTTTACAATAGCCACCGTTTTTACCATTTTGATAGATATGATAAACTGCACGGAACATAAAAACATATTTTGCACTAGTTTTTATTCCTCCTTGCAGGATTTGTTGGAGCTGGCATGCTGAGTGGTGCTGTTGTAGGGTCAGTGTTTGCTTCACCTCCAGCTAGAAATGTTCTGCATGCCATCCATTGTGTTAGTCAAGGCAATGAAGGTAAAAATGTGATTGTGATATTATTATACAGTATATCATGGTCAGTTTTACAAAACACTGACACTTCTTTCAGTCTAACAGAGATCCTTTCTTGTTATGAGTGTTAATAATTCCAGCCATGTAAGGATCCCTGTAATGTAAATAAATGAATGAATGAATTCCCACTAAACAAAAGTTTTTTTTAATGCTAGTGGGGTGGGACTAAGTTCCTTGTACTGCAGCCACTTCTGGCCTATTGTGCCAGCCCCAGATGATAGGTGAGGGTGATTGTGGAGCAATTGGTGGAATGAAGATTGGCAGGGGAAACCAAAGTACTCAGAGAAAACCTGTCGCAGTGCCACTTTGTCCACCACAGATCCCACTTGACCAGATCCGGGATTGAACCTGGACTGCCGCAGTGGGAAACAAATGTTGCTATTTTGAATTGACTTTATTGACTTTGTGAAATGTTGCTATGCTGTGTAAAAAGACAAAGATGCCATAGTGGCAGGTAGTTTCACATTAGAACTTACACACTCATGTCTTCAACTCACAAAGCAGTGCTTCTTTTGTGAAGTGATAGGAAGGGGTCCTACCAATAAAATAGAAGTACATGAGGATTCCTCTGCAGTTTCTATCAGTGTAATATCTGGAATGATCAGACAGTGATCCACCATGACCAGAGACAGCATCTCCAATATTTTGGACAGGGTGCTACTAATAAATGTGGATTATCCATATAGTTTATATTTAGTGTATTTGGTGACTTTTGTATTTGGCAGGATATGATTGTGATACAGGATTTGTGCTTATTTTCAGCAGTTTTTTCAAGCTTCTGTAAGAACTGTTCAGTAAGTAAAATTGGAGGCTATTAAGTGCTTCTGCCAGTCACAGTAGCCTCGCAGTCTAAGGCATGAACTGTTTTTGCTCGCTCAGATGCTGGGATTGTGGGTTCGAATCTCACTTAAGGCATGGATGTTTGGTGTGTGTATGCATTTGTTCTGTGTTTAGGTAGAGGCCTTGCAATGAGCTGATCACTCATCCAAAGGAGTCCTACTGTCTGTAAAAATGATTGTTGAACTGAATAAGGGCCCAGAATGGGCTTGAAAAGTCATTCAAAAAATTATTACTTCCACATAGATGTCCAACAGAATAAGAAATACTGGATAAACCATATATTTCTCCACAAAGTCACCAAAGAAAACTGAGGCATTTGTTCCAGCAATACCCAATCCGTGATATTTGAGGTTCTCATGGAAGTGACTGTGAAGATACTCTCCCCTGGGATTGTGATACCATGTACATTTGGTTCTGAATATATTTCTTCAAATTATTGGATCCTATGTATAAATTCACACATCACTATATATCCCATAAGACAGTAATATTCATACACTCTCTTTGATTCCAGCAGAAAAGAAATTATGGCTCATTTGTTATCATTCACTGGTTCACCATGACTTTCACCTTGTCGTCATGCCACAAGTGTTTTCCCTCACTGTTACCCATGGTATAGGAACTGGAAAAGATGAATAGCTTACCCAACCACAGTTCATCCTGGACCTTGTGACTAGTGCCACTTCAAAGGTAAACATTTGTGACAAGAAGATGAGGTGAAACCTGAGGTGTACTAGTAGGTGCAGACAACAAGCCCTTATTTCTTCTATACAGGAACTGATCATGTGAAACATTACTTAGCTAAAAGTCTCAGGTCTGATGATGACATGGATCAATAGATAGTTGTCCATTATACCTTGTTTTTGGCACTGGTGTCAAAGTAATGCTACGTGTTAAACAGCCCATGTATCTTTGCAATGCATTACTTTTTGTGAAATTGTGTGTTGAGTATTCTGATGTTTGTTATTATAATAGTTTCTGCACAACTATTTCATTATTTTTGTTTTTGTGACTATGTTGTATTTGTGGTTTATGGAGTACGGTGTCTCAACATTTTCAATTCTCTTGGTAAGCAGCTGTCCCAAGGATGGGGTAACTGGTCACCTGCTTCATTTCCATTTACTATAAGAATATTACATGCTTCTGCTGCTCCTGGAAATATTTTGGCAATGGTGCTAGAGGAGAGCATATGATGGTGAGAGTAGGAACTACTGTGCATATGTAAATAGAGAAACATGAACAAATCAAAAGAAGAAAAACTGTTGATTTTATCCTGTGGGCGCTTTTGTTTCGTTTTGTTTTTACAGAAATGGAGAAAGACCGCCTCTGTGGTCTAGTAGTCAGAGTTCCTGCCTACAGCTCCAGAGGTCTGGGGTTCGATTCCTGGCAATACCAGATTTTCTGTGAAGTAGGGGGTCTGGAAGGGGTCCACTCGGCCTTGTGAGGATAATTGAGAGCCATTTCAAGGAAGGAGCGGCTCTGGTCTAGAAAACTGAGATTAATGGCCATGGGGATCTGTTGCACTGACCATGTGACACCCTCTATCCGCAAAAGTTGGCACTAACTTCGCCAAAAAGCTGTGGCCGCTCGGTCGGTATAGTTCGCTTGGAGACTAGAGGCCTTGGAGTTTAGTTTTATGGAGAAGTCTCATATTTTGAGGTCCTAATCTGTAGCTTATTTAACTTATACATAAATCCAGCAATGGAAAATGTGTACAAAATATGTCAGACCAGGGGTTAATTCAGCAGTGTCAGACACATTATGCACAGTATCTGTTTCGAGAGAAAACTGCAAAAATCAAAAAGTTTAAATAATCACTATCTTGGTGAACATAGTAAATATATTGACCCCTTATTAATATGAATGCAATATATCAATATCAGCACTATCAAGCATTATCTTGTGAGAATTAGAAATGAAGATCTTTACAAAGTTACTGTAACGAATTTATTTTATTACTACAGCATCCACCATGATATGAATGATTAAAAAATTAATAGTTGAAGGATGATTAATGACTGAAATCTTAAAGGTAATTCTGAAACAGCTGGCAAGTGATAAAGAGCACAAGACAGCAGCTCCCTGATGATGTGTAATATATCATCATGACAGATATTTTCATACAGTATTTTAATTTGTTGTTGAACCTAAACATGAATTTTTAAGGAGGATTTGCAGGCTTCATGAAAACAGATTTTTTAATAATTCCTTTTGAAATATTTTTTAATGATGTTTTAAATTCCCAGTACTTCTGATTCATAAATAATGTTGAATATAAGTATTAAATATATTAATTGAGCTTCTATCCTAATAAAATCAATTATTCATTGATCTACTAATCACTGAGTTTGCTGTGAATTCCAACGAATGTTGAGCAAATGATAATTTTTATTTTTCTTAGCTGGAACACTGGTATTTATTCCAAACTACACTGGAGACTGCCTTAATTTTGGTCTTGCTGTTGAATGGGCTAAGAGTGAAGGTTTAAAGGTTAGAACCTTTTGAATTATTTCTTATGACATGAAATTATGCTTCATTGTGAAAATTGCTGAATGTTATCCGTACAGAAAAAATATACCGAATAATGACAGTGATCACATCAGACTTCAAAATTTTGTTTTTTGCCATGGCAAATAAGCAAGCATATTTCTGAAGACTGGGATGCAAAGCATCTCTTACTCTCAGGTTATATTTCTAGGTCGAGAGCATTGTGCTTGGAGAAGACTGTGCTCTTCTTGGACAAGACAGTTCTGTTGGACGTAGGGGGATGTGCGGTATGGTCTTCATTTTCAAGGTAAATTTGAGAAATATAGCTAAGAGGAAGCTGGGATTATTGTTTAACTTGAAATTAAGTTTAACTGTGATGTCAAGAGACACATCAGAATAAGGAAATAACATGTATGAATTCTTGATATATAAGACAAATGCCAAGGAAGAGTATTCCACTGACCCGTACTTTTGATTTTCATGCTCAAGTTAAAGTTTTCCTTGTGCTTAATTAAGCACTATGCTAGGATGACATATGCAGGAGTGGAAATTCAGCTTCACGTGTACTTAACCTTGAAAGTAGATGGAGCTGAGTCAGCTTTTCATTCCAACCACTTTGCCCTTGGGGAACGCTTCCAGCAGATATTTGATCATTAACTAAAATGCTGGGAGGGTTCCAGAGCCAGTCTGAACATCATGGGGAACAGAGAAATCCCTGTCCCTGTCAGCAATCAAACCGTGGCCATCCAGCCAGTAGTCTAGTCACTATAATTTTCATTTTGTGCATCCTGTTGTGTCATTATATACAATTTCTTTATCGGAGTCTGTCACAACACAGAAATATAAAGGTCAAGGCTAAAATTAGCTTGGCTACATGTTTCGACTCTTGCCATCATCAGGCAAATACATGACTACCATATTCACACACCACTGAACTGCAATTACGATGGTAAAGCTGGACACTTGATAATACATTATAAAATACATGGTATAAAAGTACAATGAAGTACAAACTCATTAAAAGAAAAGTTATGATGTAAAATAATGTTAAAACTCTTAAGTGATATTCTATATCATCCAGTCAGTTTGTTGCAATTTTGTTATATTCCTGCAGACATAATGGTATATTCAGAGTTGTATACATGTAATAAACAGAGCATTGTAATATATATTTATTTACACTCTGTATATAAAATTGCTTCCTCATACGTGTCACTGTATCTGACTTGTATTTAATTCACAGATTGCAGGAGCCATGGTAGAGGAGGGAAAATCTTTAACAGATATAGCACAGACTGTTAGAATGGTTCTGAGGGTTTTGGCCTCTTATGGTGTGAGCCTTTCAGCATGCAGTCTGCCAGGTGTGTAGCTACTGTGTACTCATAAATTCTTTATTTGAGTATTTCTTACTTTTAAATATTAATGCATAATATTTTTGTTCTGTGGGGATTTGCCTTTGTTTTTTGTCATTACTCCCGTGACAACCCACTTCTTCGGAACAGTTTGTTGGTCCTGAAAAGGACCGTGGTTGCTGAGATGCTTGACCGTGAGGTAGCATGGCGCGCACCGGTAGGGAGAGAGGTTAGTTGCGGTGATTTGACTGGCCACAGCATGGCCGTTGCTGGAGGTTGCTTGATCGCTGCGCGGCAGGTGAGTTGAGGTTGCGTGGTCACGCAGCGCGGTCGCAGGAGTGATGAGGCAGTGGTTACGCCAGATGCCCAGTGGGTCGGACAGGGTCACAACAACTGGCGAGTCCAGGCAAGGTGCCCCAGTGCGTCGGGTGTGAGAGCCGGAGGGCCAAGGCAGTCGTGCCTGGTGCAGCCTGCCGATGCCTCCGAAGACCGAGCACTGGCGACGAAGCCTGCTGGCTGATGTTGCTTGAGTGTTGCTTGATCGTAGACTGAAGTCAGACTGATGCTGCCGGCTTGCGGCTGCTCCTTTTTATACACTGCTTGGTGGGCAGAGCGAAACTTGAAATTGAGGAGGAAGAATTTGCAGGGCGCTGATTGGCTAGCACACATGATGATGTAGATGCGGGGCTAGCAGCGAGCGCAGTATAAATGCGAACATTTGGAGCAATTTGATTGGTTAGCGTGTGTGATGGTGAAAAGTGATGTGAAGAGTGTGTGTTGCAGAAAATGCGTGACAATGTGGGATGTTCCCACAGTTCCATCTCAAGCAGTACTGTTATGGCTAACTGAAATACTGCTATTGTAAGTAAGTGGACCATGAAGAGACAAAGAAGTTAGTCTGAGATAGCAGAATGAAAATATCTGTAGTAAAGAAATTGTTGGAATACATTTTAATGCGTAGTTTCTGTGAGATGTCTTCCAAATGCATATTCTATTTATAATTATGTTATATGTGTTATGTCAGAATGTTTGGCTGGGTCATGTGCAGGAATTCACTGAGTTATGAATATGCAGCTTATAAACCTCTGTACATACAAATTAATGAATGAATACCTTAACATCTGAGTAATTCATTCATGTAAATAGAAACATATTTAAAGAAAAGTTCCCAAAAGGATCTAGTGTCGTCAGCTTCTGCAGTCCTTGAAAGTGTCCAGAAGTCCCATTCAGCATCTCCACCAAAGGCTTATACCTTCTTATCCTCCCTTATTAAACATATTCTTCCTCAAGAAATGTCATTTTCAGTAAGAAATGCAGTGCCAGCTCTCACTTAAAACTATTTTTTTTCTGTTTCAGTTTGATTATCCTTAAGTTTTCTCGTCATTACTGGTATTACAACAGCATTCCTTCTATTACGCATTTACAAAAGTAATGCTTCTATTATGCATTAAAAATGTACTACATTTTGACATAATTATGAGTTAAATGTGCTCTTGGTGGCTGGCTTGAGGGTCTGAGTCTATGGGAAACCATGTTCCAAGTCGCAAACAATAATCTTATGAAGAAAGCAATTTTGAAATAGAATTCATTGTGAAAGATTTTCTATGTAGTATTCATATACGTATAAACCATGTATGTTGTGAAAGTTATGTACCTTATCATTCACGCATGAGAAGTATAACTTTCTATAAATACCCATATTGCTAGCTTTGTCTTTAATTTTTTTGGATTTCTGTGTTAGTGTTGTAGCAAACCTTCCAATAAAATTATGTAGATTCAGTTAATACAAAGCTGGCACAATGCTTATTCACATCACCCAATTCCTTGCACCCCATAAAATTAATTGCTTGCTGGGTTAAACGTTAACTATATTAGTTATTTGTGACTCTCATTAGAAACAAAGTATTTAAACAAAACTTAGAAGCTAAAATTAATGCTCACCAATACAATTAATCAGTTAGCCTGATGAGGCTGGATATGCCAGACATGCCAGGACCCAGTCTGGCTGATACGTATTTAAAGGTTGGTTTTCAATGCATGTAATTCACATACACAGTGTTTCCAGGTTCTGTTAGGACTGTGTTCATTAAAAATCCAAAATGTGAGTTATTTTCAAAATTTCACTCCTTTTATTCAAAATAGTCTCCTTCTGGATCAATACATAGCTGGAATCAATTGAATTTTTTTTAAACTGTCACTGTACTCCTTTTGTGGAATCGCATTTAAAACTGCAGTAGATTCCCTTTGGATGCCCTGGATGGTGTCATGACAGTCTCCTTTCATCGCCAACTTAAATTTTGGGAACAACCAGAAATCTGCTGGAGCCAATCTGGCAAATATGGAGGATGATCAAGGACTGTGATCACTTTTCTGGCCAAAAAATTGGGCACAGTCTTCGATTTGTGGGATGGGACATTGTTGTGGAGGAGCGACCAGGAACCATGCTCTCAATATTCAGGTCGAATTTGAAGAATTCTTGTCCACAAACGATTGAGGACTCCGAGATAATAATCAGAATTCACTGTTTGACCTTATGGCGGAAATTCCTCGTGAATGATTCCTTTGGAATCAAAGAAAACGATTAGCAGTGTCTTTACTCGACTATTTTGCATGTGCACTTTCTTTGGTTTCGGCTTCTTTGGGCTCAACCACGCTGCACTCTGCCACTTTGTGAGAGGCTCATTTTGAAAACACCATGTCTCGTCACCAGTAACAATCAATTTTATAAATTTTGTATCACTTTGGGCTGACCGTAACATGTCTTTGCAATGTTCCACTCTGGCATGTTTTTTATTGCCTGACAGTGCGTGCAGTACAAACTGTGCAGACCTTCCGTTTGTCCAAATCCTTGGTCAAAAATTGATGCACAATACTTTTTGGTATTCCCAAAAGCTCCTCAATGAGTCTTGCAGAAACACATCTGTCTGATGCAAGGATTTCGGTCACTTTTTTCACATTTTCTTCAGTGTGACTTGTTCTCAGCTTTGATGCACGTGGAGTGTATTCGATGTCCTCTCTGCCATCACGAAATACAGCATACCATCGAAAAATGTTCGAGCGACTCAAACAATCACTACAGTACACACTTTTCATCATTTTGTATGCTTCTCCAGCTGTTTTGCCTAACTTCAAACAAAATTTGATGTTGGCTCTCTGTTCAACCGCCATTTTCTGATGAGCATGAGAACAGTACTGTTACATTCAAGGTCAGAACACATGATGCAGTGATGCTTGCACTTTGAAATTATAGACAGCCACAGCTGAAACTTCTAGAATCTTAACACTACAACTCACCAGCAGATGACATTGCAGGGCAAAAAAAAAATAGGCCTAACGGATCCTGGACACGCTGTGTATACACTAAAGAAATAGCATAACAATGCAAAATATCTGATTTTCTAGGCTTCTATATATGAATACTTCTTTAAATTGTCATTGATGTTTTGCGACGCAGCAATTCTTATGTTACCTATTGCACTAGGCATGAAAGGTAGAGGTTTAAATTTGACCTATCCAAAAAAATTTGCTAATAGTTATTTCCTCAACACCAAATATAATGAATCAAGATGTATGCATCTGCTACTATATTCCTTTCATAATTCATATTATGAATTGCTCGTTGTGTTATCAGGTTCTGGACCATTGTTCAAAATTGGAACTGATGAGATGGAGCTTGGGCTTGGAGTCCATGGTGAAGCCGGAATAAAAAGAGTGAAGGTACAGTTATAAATATTAAAACATTGTGTACTGTATTTACATACACTGCTACCCTCAGTTCCCAGGTATTTAATCAGACTCCAGAAACAGTATTTGTGCATTAAAATAAAACAGAAAATTTTGCCTTCCTTTACGTTTAACCAATTTACATTAAACTTTACACCAGGTATTGATGAAGGTATCTAGTACCCTTTGAGAATATTGTGCATTGAAACAGTATGAATCCAACAGCAGATACTGTGGGCCAGTATTCTCTTTAACTCTATTTGTTATAACATGAGTATTTTATTTTTTGATGAAATTTCATATTTTGATCACGTGTGTAAGTAATACTGGCTTATTTCTTCATATAATGCTTCAAACAATGCCTTGCTAATATCATATTTATAAAACAAAGTTAAAGATTACCTTGTTCTTAATTAAGCACCACAATTTGAAGATGTATCCTTGTGCTTAAACACCAGCAGATGTATGAGGGAGGGAGGAGGTACAACTGCTTGAATTCTTAACATTCACACTAGACAGATGCAAGTGGTCAGCTTCACATCCTGACCACTTCATACACAAGGAAAGAGTCTCTGTTTCACATTGGAGCAGAGGCTGGTTGGATCGAAGAACTAGTCTGGATGCTGTAGCAAAGAGCAAAATCTTTAACCTTCCATGAATTAAATATAGCCTGTACCCTAGCCGCTATGCTGACTGTGCTTTGCAGATCGAGATCATTCCTATGTATATCCTCATTTACAAATTCAATATAATTTATTGCTGCAGTCATACCAATGTAGGGGAATGCCTAATACCATTCAGTTAATAATCTTTTTTTTCTTTCAATTTGATATATAAAAATGCAAACATTTAAGTATAAAATCTTTAATTTCATGTGTAATTTTGTATGAGCACAAAACTTGATTTCACATTGAAGTAAGAACATAGGCTAAGGTGTTTGAGAGAATACTGAGGAGAATATTTGTGCCTAAGAATTAGAAAGTGATGGAATCAATCAATCAATCAATTTATTTGTTCCGAGAATCCATATTTGGAGATACAACCTCCGGATATAGAACAGTCAATTACTACATATTAAAATAACACATATCATACATGAGTCAAGAATACTATGAAACTTAATTACATACAGATTTGATACACATCAATCATACAATATACCATCCCACTTTCAACAATTCAATACCAAAAGAAACCCAACATCCAACATTTTCTTTAAAGGTTACAATATGAGGAGCTTCATAATTTGTACTCTTTACCAAACATTAGCAGGATGATGAAATGAGAGAGTATGAAATGGGCAGGCCAAGATATCACTCATATTGCTCTAAATTTTGAAGAAAATCAGAATTTGGAAAGTGTTCCTATTACCACCAAACAGAATATCAGTAAAGTCTGTTTTTTCTTTGATACTATCAACAATTGACAGATTTTTTTAAATCAGCAGGCTGCAGAGGTCTTGTTTTTTTGTGTTTCATTTTCACTGGAAGCATAATTTTTATGGTCAAGGGGACTGTGATAATATCCACTTTTGTTTTCTATCATAACAGAAGTTATGTAAACATTCTATCTTGTCCTTCATAAGCCAAGTAGATACATCTGGAGAAAAAACATGATGTCACATGCAAGACAGTTCGTAAGCAGTAAGCTAAAAAGAGTCCTTATACTGTATTATTATTATTTGTACTAATTATGACGGAATAATGTCTGTAGACAGATTTTGAAGTTTGCATGGCAACTGGATGCAATTATGTCTTTTCAGGTGATCGTTCGTGTTAGTATGAAACAAGTTTCCAAAACATCAAGAAGAAAGACCTCGTAATAATTTGAAAAGAAAAGATTGTAGGAAGACAGTAAACTGTAGATTTTTTCTATATTGACCCACATAGAATAGGGACAGTGCTAGAAGAGAATACTTTAATGGTATGATACCTAAGCACAGGAAAACATTACCATTGTATATATTTGTGTGTTTAGGGGGTCAGATAGTTTAGTGAGAATACATACATACATACATACATAATTCATAAATTCACTGATCCATTGTCCAAATTAGATCAGATATTGCACTTGTCAAAATAAGACTTGATTGCAGAAGTACAATCATGAAGAAAGCAGTCTTCTGGGATTTGGCACCGTGTATATGTGGTGTTAACCGACGTTTCGGAGGAACGTATCGCCCCCATCTTCAGGGTAGAAGAAAAAGTATAAGAAATCTGCAAGCGACAACACCGTGAGAAACGGTAAAGCAGACTCCGTTTCTCACGGTGTTGTCGCTTGCAGATTTCTTATACTTTTTCTTCTACCCTGAAGATGGGGGCGATACGTTCCTCCGAAACGTCGGTTAACACCACATATACACGGTGCCAAATCCCAGAAGACTGCTTTCTTCATAGTTACTGCCGTGAAAGCCTCAAATCTTACAAGTACAATCATGTCAACAGAAATAACCACACACAACCAGAAGCACCGAATAACCATAATTTACATTGTCATTAATAAACAAAATTACAAGGAATATAGTTATTAAATGTTATACATGCTTAGCAGAAATATATTCGTCTGTTGAATAAAAAGCATTTGTTGTGAGGGAACTTTTCAGTGTTCGTTTAAAAATCTTCACATCATCATTTGTATATTTTGAGGAAGATTATTATAAACCATAATGGATGAATATAACATGCCTCTCTGGATTGAAGATAGTCTCACTGATGACACATGTAACTTTCCAAACTGTCTAGTGTTTATATGATGAATATTATTGTTGGTTTGAAAAAAATTGTGATTTCTAACAACAAACATCAGTACAGAATAGATATATAGGCTAGGAATCATCAAAATACCCAACCTCTTAAAACCTTCTTTACATGAGTTTCCAGGACTCAATCTCAGCATAACCCTAATGACTCTTTTTTGGGCAACAAATAAACTTTTCGTAACTGGAGAAGAACCCCAGAATATAATACTATGTTCAAGCTGAGACTGATAATAAGAAAAATAGACCATTCGAAGAGCTTGTTCACTGACAAGGGACTGTAACTTCCTGAGCAAAAAACATGCTGTATTCAGTTTCTTTAATAATTTTTCAGATTGTTTTTTCCAGTTAAGTAGACAATCTAAATACATACCTTAAAAATTAACATTATCAACATCTTTAAGTCTAAAATTATTATATGTTACCAGTAATGTATATTCTGGAGACATAGGAGTCACAAATTTAATCAGGTGAGTTTTACTCAAATTAAGTACCAGATTGTTATTTCGGAACCAGCTTGAAACCCTAGTCATAACTCTATTTAATTTAATATTCAAAGAATAATGACTTTACTCAACTCATGGAAGGAACCAACATTAATGGTGTGAATTTGTTAGCTGTCAGCTTCCACATGCTACCTACAATGCATATCCTTCATCTGTCAACACCAGAAGCAAACAACTTGAGAACAAAACAGATAGAACAAGAATAGACGTGACAATCAGTGGGTGTGGGGGAAGGCACACAAGGTGTTGTAGCTGTAAGGCAGATGGGTGTTGAAGAATCTGTTAATTTTTTTTCAATGACTGGAATGGTTCTGAACTTGATGACTGGCATTTGATTCCTTGCAGAGTCAGATATTTTTCTCTTTACTACCATGACTGGCAGACTGGCTCTAGGGCCATCCACCTTCCTGTTTAATGCATATCCAGAGATCTTTCTACGTGAACAAAGCCAAAGTATGAAGCTATCACTAATTACAGTCTAGTTCCAAAGTTAACATGTAGAGCTATACCTCTAGTTCCTTATGTTTAAGTACAGGAACAACTTCATCTTTATATGTGTGTGGGTTTGAAGATACAAAAAGCGTTTGGTGTGTTTAGAATGTATTTAATGTATGGCTATCATGAAATTCTGAAACAAGGCTTACTTAGTTTGATGTTTTTCTTTATAGGCATATAATATCTTCTGTTCTGAGTAATGACATTGCTGTGTACAAAGAAAACATATCAATATATGAGGTTTACACTTTGATTTTCTTTCTGCACAAAACAGTTGATGATTCCAGTATATTTATTTTTTGTATTTTCATGTGTTACAGATCCGTACAGCAACAGAAACTGTGAAAATAATTTTGGAAGCTATTATAGGGACATTAAAACTAAAATCTGGAGACGAAGTTGTTGTGCTTATTAATAATTTGGGTGGTACATCACAGCTGGAACAATGGCTGGTTACCGGAGAAGTTCATAAACAATTTAGTAAGCACATAGACACATTTGCAACATTTGTAAAATGTGGTAACTCTTTCATTAGACAAAGAATTTTTCAAGAATTACTATGAATTAGAGTAGTTTCACAAATAATGCAGGATAGTACATTTCTCACATATGCCGATTTTGGCTGTTGCTGTTAAGTTATTCAGAGTCACATCACTGCATACAGGAACATATTACACTGTATGAGACCGCTGTGACAGTATCAAGTGGTGCACAAAGATAGTTTGTTGTGGCAGCAGAGTGTACTCAACCAGATCCCCTGCTTGCTTTTTCTACTTTCTCCCTCCAGCTGCCTGTCATGCAAGTACTGTTAGGCAGGCAAAATATTTGTTAGTTTGTTACTGTTTGTAACTGATAGTTACTCACCTGCCTAGGACATTCTCCTGATATTATTGAAACCTGAATTTCCGATGTCATATTCATAAGAACCCACCACTAAATACTGTCATGAGCCAACTGAATTCAGTCCCACAACTTCACATCATATTCCCCTGTGATACATTTCATTACTATATTCACATCTATTCCTAGATCTGTAGGAGGAAATTAAGAGGAGATTGAACTCGGGTAATGCTTGCTACCATTCAGTCCAGAACCTTTTGTCTTCTCGTCTGCTGTCCAAAAACATAAATATTAAAATATACAAAACTATAATTTTGCCCATAGTTCTGTAAGGGTGTGAAACTTTGTCTCTGACATTAAGGGAGGAACATAGACTGAGGGTGTTTGAGAACAGGGTGTTAAGGAAAATACTTGAACCGAAGATGAAGTGACAGGAAGTTGGAGAAAACTGCATAATGAGGAGCTTCATAACTTGTACTCTTCTCCAAGTATAATTAAAATGATCAAGTCAAGGAGGATGAGGTGGGCAGGTCATGTAGCACGAATGGGGGAGATGAGGAATGTGTATAGGATATTGGTGGGACAGCCGGAAGGAAAGAGACCACAGGGACGACTAAGGTGTAGGTGGGTGGACAATATTAGACTGGATCTTAGAGAGATAGGATGGGATGGTATGGACTGGATAGATCTGGCTCAGAATAGGGACCAGTGGATGGCTCTTGTGAACACAGTAATGAACCTTCGGGTTCCATAAAATTCTGGGAAATTCTTGAGTAGCTGCAGAATTGGTGGCTCCTCAAGCAGGGCTCACCTCCATGAGTAAGTAAGTATTCCTATATCTGTAAGTGATCTTTTCCCCTTACTTGCCCTGACAGTATTGGGCAAACAGTACAAATTATGAACCTCCTCATTACAATTTTCTCTATCCCTCATTGTGCCCTCTTCCTATTTCTCTTCACGTTTTTTCTTAAACAGTCTCAATCTCAGTTCTTCTCTTAGAGTGATAGACCAAGTTTGACAACCATATAAAACAATAGGTACAACTGTAGTACAAGAATGATACAGATATAAAATTATTATGTAATTCTGAATGTATCCTTTGTTGCAGCTACCCTTGGCATTGCTGTGTTACGTATATATGCAGCATGTATCATGACATCATTAGAAATGGCTGGGATTCAGGTCTCTGCATTAAAGATTTCTGGGGCACACAAGGAAGACTGGTTGAACTATCTTGATGCAGAAACTAAGGCATGCGCCTGGTGTGGGTCTCCCATGTCCATTCCACCAGAAGAGCCACTGAAGGACACTCCTCCCCCTGAAAATCATCCAGAGGAACACAAGGTTGGTATTATGTGAGAGTACTGAGCATCAAATATAAATAATTAAAAAATATAGTCGATTATACCAATTGGATGCTTGCCAAGAGTATTGCTTTTATTCAACTAACATTATTTCTTTTAAATGAGAAGACAAGCAATATCTGTTAGTATACATACATACATACATACTTTATTTCACTTCCATAAATCCTATCAGGAGTTACAAACTCATGTGGATGTGGAGATCGTCTTGGTTACAAATTTGGCACAAGATACCACTTGTCGTACAAATATCATAAACATTC